ACTAGGCGAATACATTCTGTTGCCCTTACCTTGCGTTTCGCCCGTTTAGCTGGCATGCATTTTAAATTTTCAGCACAATTGGAATTCTGGCTTCCGTAGGCAGCTTGCTCATGGATGTTTATTGACCCGCGTAGCCGCCTGAGGGATCGGAGGAAACGTAGCTGGGCGTGTGTGCGTGTAGGCATCTGTTATATACGATCACCGAACAATATGGAGACGTTGTTATGCGCTCACAATCGTCGTGCGCCGGTACGAAGGTATGCGGCACCACGTGGGTACGTTACTAGGTATCGTTCGTTCTAAATGGAAAACGCATCGATTGCGAGAGAACACGCGCCGTGCGGCTACATAAAGGACATAGGCTGTGTCATGCACGCACGATGCAGAATGAACGCACTCGTGCAACTAGCAACGAGCAGGAAATCGTAATTTTCTTCGTTTTACCTTGGTTCGGCACGATAAACGCATTGATCATTTGTTTCGAACACTTGAACGAAACAAAATCGGTTAGCGGATAAAAATCATCACAATCTAATTCACATTGTAATTCTGATGTGAGTACAAAACTGCGTTTAAAGTCATTTAATGGATTTTATACGTTGTGTATTCAATTAATTTCACCCGTTAAGAAACACTAGCTATCGACACCACGGACTAAAACGCAACTACACAGTGATGCGCAGTTATATTTAGTGCGCCCTGTGTGCTTTTAGAAACTTATTTTTACATGTTTGTACCTGCAAATAGGAACGACGTACATGCGCATAGAAAACTATAGGAAACAATCTGCTATGTATATAATTTCACGGACTATATATATATATATATGTATTATATGTATATACATGTCAAATATTACTTTTGAGTGGCATCCACACAAAATTTCTTGTACGTGGCATCCACACTAATTTCTTCTAGTTTTGGTGGCATTGTTAACAGTTTACCATTGATATTCACACCTTTGACTAGTTGGTTACCGACTAGTTACTGTCCTAGAGTCACATGGTCACATGAAAGGCATGCTATCATACCATGATATCATTGTGGCATTCACACTTTTGAGTAGTTAGGCAGATAAGGTTTATGTCTTCCTTACCTCTGATTGACCTGGCTCGTTTAGCTATTTCTGACTAACCCTAACCCTGGTAACTATCTGATATAGTTATAGGGTTAGGGTTAGCGTTAGGGTTAGGGTTAGGAACTTAGGGTTAGTCAGAAATAGCTAAACGAGCCAGGTCAAACAGAGGTCAGGGAGACATAGACCCTACGGGCAGTAGTTATAGTCTCATAGAGTCACAGAAAAGGCAGGGTACGTGCCCCACCTACCTACATGTTATTACCCATTCTGACAGTAGACGAAATGGGAACATTACCCATTCTGACAGTAGACGAAATGGG